TCCTTTTTTTTTTTCAGAACACCTGATCTACGGAAATTATTCGAAATTAGATTCTCATACAAACACTGTAATTTCACACGCGTTTGCCTACTCGTCAAGATGGCGTCGAAAACCGTGACAAGGTCTATTGTTGAGGTGTTCTGCCGAACACTAGTCTCCTACGGACGATGCTCTAATGCCACGGGAATTCAGGTTTGAGACCTGATCTTTCATTAGAGAAATCATCGGAACAATCACAAACACGATGGCATAGCAATCCTCCCCAAATAAACGATCGAAAGTGTATGGAGCCAGCTCAAAAGGTCAGACTCTTTCCAGCTCCGGTTGGAGCAGACAAAAAAATATCCCTCCCCGACAGATTAGCCTGCGAAAACATCCGTTTCTCCTCGCTCTTCGCCGCTGGGGACGTTTCGCGCGGAGGAACGTCGTTTCTCCGCTCGAAACGTCCCCAGTGGCGAAGAGCGAGGAGAAACGGATGTTTTCGCAGGCTACCGACAGATATGCTTCGGTAAAATAGCCTGTGCTCAAGAGCATCTTTCATCGCTTTCGCAATCGACCCCATGTTGGAATTTGAACCGCAAGTCACGTTTCAATGCGCTTAGTACTTGTGAGTGACAACTTTATCCCCAAGGGTCCTTGGGAGGTACTTTGATTGGTCCAAGCGCACCGACCGGTAGGAGAGAACCCCTGGGAACGAGGTTGCGACCGGTTTTTGAGTCGGTAAAACTGGCGCCAATCAAGTATGAAAAGTCCTTCGTCCCGCGCCATATGAACTACGACGAAGGACTTTTTTGAAAGTCTACGTCTTAAGCTTAACCTCATCATTGTATGTGAGACCATGAAAGGAAGGAAGGCTGTGCCTTCCGAAGTGTTGTTGTTCGAAATATTCCCGACTGTAAAATCAGCCTTGCTTCTTTTGTTTAATATCTAGCTTTAGTAGCCCGTGAGGTGTAGTATCTTTATTGCCTAGTCCCTAGGCCTCATTTTTCCTCGCGGCCAAAGCGTTTCGGGTCACGTGGTCTACGCGAAAATTTGAGGCGTTTCCCGCCCGTTCGCCTTGGATACGTCACCGAAACGAATTGACCGAGAGGGACTGGGAAAACGCCGTACAGGGACTAGGCAAGGGCACAGTTTCTCCCAATACACGGCCTCCCAGCCGGTGAATTATATTTATATATTTTTAAGGAAGACATGTTGCTGACTCCTCCGAAATTTTAGTGATATTTGGCATTTAAGTATAGGTATACCAGTCAAATCTTTGCGTTTGGCTTTTTAAATGTATTGCCAATATCTTCTGGTGATATTTGGCTTGGTGCTAGGCGGGACTCGCGTCATTAGTATCAAGTAGACCGCTGACATACCAGTGGCAGATCCATCCAGGAATTTTTTATTGGGATGGGGGGCGGGTGGGAGGAGTCCAAACTTTGGTTAAGAAAGGACTGTTGAACTTTGTTGTGGCAAATTACTTCTCACAGAGACGACCACGTGTTTCTCAATCTGTGAACGCTGCTTGCCGTTGGCGCGGGAAATACTGCTTTGCGAGCAGAGACGAACAGATCCCAAAAACCATTACATTTTTAATATCCCCGAAATTCAGTTTAGTGGCAAAATGCAATGCGCGTTTCATTAAACGAATCTAGCCTGTGTACAGACGTCTCCCAATTTTTTCCTGGGGGAGGGGAGACGTCTGTACAC